GCCCGCTTGCAACCAGTTTAGAAAAGCCCCTTTCAGTCTTCTCGGATCTTATCCTCCCACCCCCCTTAAAGTTCTGGCCCGCATTACAAATGCCTTTCATAACCCTGGTGAGCACAATGTAAAATGTGGCTGCCTTCTTTGCTTTGAATTTTTCCTCCACTTGTGAAATCATATCCACAGTTCAAAGTCCTGTCTTCAAAAGAGGACAGTGGCGCTTCTCACTGGGTTTCTTGTCCTTTCCATAAACTCCATTTTTTAGTTGCTTGAATAGGCACAGTCCTGTAACTTACTAACAGACATCACCTATTTAAAGGACAGATTTATTAACTGTCAAAGACTAGCGACAGCCTGGCCTCATCTCCGGAGGCCACGGTGTTTATTTGCAGACTCACTTTCTAAACCACTGAGTAGCATGAAGGTGTCTACATGTGTTTATATTTCACAAAACTAACACAGCGTCAGCCAGCCACTTAGAAGTGGCCTCCCCGCCTTCCTCAGTATGGCCCTTGCCTATCTTGATCCGGTCTCGGGGACCCAACTAGCTACTTGACAACTGTCCCTGTACACATCTAGAATAAGATCAGAGCAGGCCCCGATGCCTCCTGCCATAATTTGTCTTGGCAGGGACTGAGCAGCTAGCTTTTAGTAATCAGTAGAGAGCTCTGCTTTTGAGTAGAGGGTAAAAGCACAGCAGACTGGATTCTAACCAGCTCATCTTTGACCACTGTCCCGTTTCCCTACTGGCCATGCGACAGGGAGACATGTGTAGAGGTTTATTGCTACCTGTTTCCTGCACCCTCTTCCTAGAGTTATTGGGGTAACCGGGTGGATAATCACTCTGCCTGATACACACTAAGGTCTGTCAGTTATCCATGGGCCCGTGGGGGGTCCCCACTCTTGGTTTCTCTGGTAAACATTCTAGCAGGCTTTGGCCACCAGGCGTGAATTACCTGGTTACCAAGTTTCTGACTTTTATCTCCAAAGTGGTTAAAAATGATCAATCTCTTGTGGAATGCTTGGAAGTCTGATCATTATTTAGTGCTGGCAAATAATTTTTAATATTCTTTAGATAATCTAATGTTTGAATTCCTTACACCAAAGCCACGCTTTCAAACTTCATGGTGCAAAGGAGTCACTAGAGATTTTGTTAAAATGTACATTCCGACTCAGAGATTCTGCATTTCTAACAAGTCATTAATGCTGTTGATCTGAAAAGTACATTTTGAACATTAAGGTTCTAAAACATGTGAAAAAGAGAATACTAGCCGCACTGTGACATAAAATGTGGCAAATAGTGTTCATTTAAAATAAAAAATAAAGTAAGATACCCTCAGACGAATAGGCTGTTTTCAAAATTCTAAATTTAATAACTCTGTCCCCCACCTCCCAGGGGGAAAAAAAGGCAAAAAGAAAAAGATAACTGAAGCACAAGCACTACAGTGAGGGGAACCCCACAGAGCCGTTCTCAGCTGTGGCTATTCACTGGCCGACTGGGAGCGGCTAGTTGCGTCTTCTAGTTTCATATCTACCTGAGCGTACCCACTTTCTAGAGTGGGGCGCCAGACAGCTCTCCATCAGTCACTTCAAATAGCAGCCAGTGTGCCCACCTTTTGCTTATCAGATTTTTTTTTTTTTAGAAAGGGATATGTTTTCAAAAATTATTTATTTATGCATACAAGAACTGGGGTACAGGCCAGCGGTAGGGAGGAAGGTGAGAGGATTCTCCAGAGACAGAGTGGGGAGCAGAACAGGCAGATCTACTGAAACCCACTGCTAAGGGAGCAGCGGGGAGACAGGAGAGTCAGCTGCGCCCTGGGGTCCCTCCCTGGCCGGGGATGGAGCAGTGCTGCAGTGTCCGGGCTGAGCCTCACAGCGCTGCCCTTGAACCCCTTAAGCCACCAGGGAGGCCTGATATTACCTTTCTACTAGGCTATTTACAATGTCCTTAAATAGGTTTCAAAACAGTTTTAAATGTCTTCTAATTCATTCTCCACGATTCACTTAATTCCTTTCAAAGCATTGACTGGACTGACCCTTTACCTCAGGGCTGTGCTGACAGCAGACAGAGAACAAGACACCTCTTCCTCTTGGGTAACTCACAGCCATGGAGACAAAGGCAGCGGCCCACAGAGCGTTTAAGCTGCCTCTGTGCTCGGGCCAGAGACCACACGAGCTCACAGAGAGATGGTGGCGTGAGTGTGGCGGTGTGCATGAGCGGGTAGAGCTTTTCATTTGGCAATTCTTTCCAGAAACATCTTCAAATGTTTTTGGCTGCTTACCAGCCAGGACGCTAGCTCTCAAGTTGCTGTGACTGTTTGGCTCTTACTGCAGGAAAACCCTGAAGAAGGCCGGGCCAGCATTTACAGGTCGGTGATCATCAACACTTCTAAGGAGATGATGTGCTTCAGTGACTTTCCCATCCCGGCCCACTTCCCCAACTTCATGCACAACTCCCAGGTGCTGGACTACTTCAGGATGTACGCCAAAGCGTTTGACCTTCTGAAGTACATTCGTTTTAAGGTACGGAAGTGGGGGTAGCTTTGCGTTGAAGTCGTCTGTCAAATAAACGAAGACTGTGGTCTCCTTTACTGAGCGTTCAAACGTGAAGACGGGCTTGCACCCGGGTCTTACCCAGAGACTCCAGGCTCCATCTTTCCTGCGCTTCTCTCCACTGGGGCTGCGAGCTACCATGTTTTCCCTGCTTTCATTTTTTACTATTTGACTGAAAATAAAACAAGAGAGAGTAATGTTTCCCAGTTACAGGGTGGAACTGACAGCCAGGGGAACATTAAAACCTGGTCTCATGGCTTGCTCGCTGCTGCCTGCCCTTTACACGTTCTGGTGCTTTACTTCACATGCTCACAACCCCTGGGGTGGTGGGAAGTTACTGAGGAAACAGAGACATAACTCTGGTGTGGAGAGAAGAACACTGAGCTCAGGGACAACTTGGGTTCTGGCCCTTGGCCTACGATGGACCGACCTGTGATGTCAGGCAAGTCAGTCCCTTAACTTTGGTTTAGCTTAATTTTCTTGTTTGTAAAACAAGATGGTTGTAAAACACAATGTACTAGGTCATACCACTGTTCCTTCCTGATGTAAAGTATTCCACAATTTTTCTATTGTTTTTAATCACCATCATAAAGAGTATTTCTGAAATCTGGCAAATCTTTCACCTTCTTATCAGCCTGCTAAATCACACCTTTGTTTAATGATAGACAATACAGGGTCACCTCATATCCAGTGATAACTCCCCAAGTAAGTCATTCATAGCCCAGTGAAAGTCTTTTTCACTTGCTTATGTAGAGTGAACTTGCTTGGTACTGCACTAAGCAGTGGAGATACAAACAGAAAAAATGACAGTGATTTCATAGTCATAGAAAAATAGAAAAAAAATGATAAATATAATTATTGGAAGAAAAAAAAAGAATTACCGGTGATAAGCAGCAGAGAGACCCATACCCTACATAAGAGAAGATGCCTGAGCCCAGCAGGCACAGTGCTGACACCGGGGAAGTGTTCGGAGAGGACAGGAAGCCCGAGCCGAGTGTTGAAGGGTGACAGGAAACTGCCGGTGAAGGAGGAGAAGGGTGGAGGTGCCAGCTGAGGGGAAGCAGGAACGCGCCAGATTAAGCGATGGCTCGTGCAGGCTGGCTGGGGGCGGGAACAGGCACGAGAGCGCGTGGGGGTGCCCCTCAATGCTCCTTAACTTAGGTGGCGCATCCGTGTTCACTAATGTTCTTTAAAAGCTTACATGTGCCACTGGCACGCCGTCTCTCTGTGTCTTGCTCACTGGCATTTGTGGGCGCCACTCAGGAGCCACTGAGATGCTTTCTGTCCCACTAGAAAAGGTCACTTTGTGGCTCAGGCCTCAGCTGACCACTGAGGACAGGCCGGCAGGTGAGATGACACCAGGCTGTCTGAGGGTCAGGGAGGAACAGGCCTGTGGTGCCTCGAGTGTCCCCCACGTTTTAAAGTGCCCCACGGCCACAGGGCAAGGACCCAAAGAGCGAGTGACCTGAGCGATTTGGTGGAGAGAGGGTGCCGTCAGCCAGGCTCGACCTGCTGCAGAAGCGCTTCACTGCCTGCCACAGCCTGGACAGGAGGTTCCTGTGTGTGGGTGCAAGTCCGTATCCCTTGGGGCCCTCAGCGATGGGCATGACACTGCCGGGTCACAGCGGGGAGTCCCACTGCACCGGCGTGGTGACCGTCCCTTCTCTGTCCAGACCACTGTGCGCAGCGTGAAGAAGCGGCCCGACTTCTCCACTTCAGGCCAGTGGGAAGTGGTCACAGAATGTGAAGGCAAGGAGGAGGCGACTGTCTTCGACGGGGTCATGGTTTGCTCTGGCCATCACACCAATGCTCACCTGCCGCTGAAAAGCTTCCCTGGTGAGTAGCCGCCAGGGACCTGACCCCCCGGGGAGGGAGGATGTCAGCGACTCCTACCTCGGGAGAGGTGAGGTTACCCTTATTCTTCATGTGTCCTGAAGGACGCTGGGGTCACCTGCACTACTGCGTTTAGGGACAGGGATAATCACGGTTTTGGAGACCAGAGGGAAGTGAGAGGCCTCTCTGTTCAGAGCCACAATGACTTCAGTTTCTCCGAGTGTTACTCCTCACTGGTTAAATGAGGATGGCGTTGATCTGCATCGAGGTAACTGAGGATTTTTTTCAGCCCTCGAGAAAACCAGCATAAATATTGAGTTTCTAAGGGAGAAATGAATGCTTAAAGAAAGAATTTAACTGCAGTCTTTGGCCTGGATTTTCATTTTGGGAAAAAAAAAGCCTCAATGAGCGTGGCGTGCGTAAGAGCCTATATACTCCGTTGAACTGGGAGTTGGTATGCAAAGATGCAGACACCACGGAGACGCCAGGTTTCCTGAGGTGGACCAGATTCTGAGTCTACAGATCCCATCAAACAGAACCTGCCCTGAGCGCCTGCTGAGGCTGAAGGAGGAGCAGCTGGACAGCGGGAACACGTGTGCAGACTCTGCGGGCTGCAGACCATGACAGGTGCACGGCGGCCTTGGGCAGCCCCTTGCCCGACAACCACTCTCCCTTCTCTTCTCTTGCAGGTATCGAGAAGTTCAAAGGACAGTACCTCCACAGCCGGGACTACAAGAAGCCAGACAGTTTTACCGGGAAGAGAGTCATCGTCATCGGCATCGGGAATTCCGGCGGGGACCTGGCGGTGGAGACCAGCCACGTGGCCAAGCAGGTCGGTGCAGGGAGGCCGCGGGGCCTGCCTGACGCGGCGGCCGCTCTGTGCTCGCTGGTGTGACGGCCCTTAACAGTTGGAGGCCACTAGCCAGTGGGCCCGGACCAGGGTTACCGGGACCGCAGAGCCCAGGCAGCGCTTCTGAGCGCGCTCTGGCGTTGGAGAAGACCGGGCAATTTCCGGGGAGCTTGGAGGCGGGGTGGGGGGTTCTGCCACCGGGAGCAGAAGTGTTGGGCACGCATGGAGAGGAGAGCACGCAGGGTCGCCGGAAGCTTCTCACTCACGGGGTGGGGGAGGGGGGTTCTTCTCCTCACCCCGCAAGTGGAAGTGAGGTGCAGTCTCATCCTTCCAAAGACAACAGGCACCAGTGCGAGGGAGGGCGTGCCCTGGCAAGCAGCACCCCCTGCCCCTGCCCCCCGGCTCTGTAGACGGTGACTCGGGACATTTGCTCTAAGGCAGCTTTTCTTACAGATCCAAATTTGTGTCATTTTTGTTATTATTTTACACATAGAGAACCTTTTGATTGAGGCTTTGGGTGTTTGCATCACTCACCCTCTTGCATACCAAAGATTACATGGAACTGCAGGACTGTTTGATGGTGGAAACCCAAGATTGTTTGATTCTTAAGAGCACGAAGGCTCTCTTGCTGTCATATGGAAAAGTGCTCAGTGATGACAGCACCCGGGGTCGCTGCCAGTGAGGCCCTAAGAGCGCAGCACGGGGCCCCTCTGTAGTCGAGACGCCTGGCACACAGGGGCTTCCAGACCATGAAGCAATGCTCTTATCTGGAAACCATCTCTGGAGAGTTTGGTAGAAATGTAGCGTAGCACAGCAAGGTCACCGAATTCTGCCAAGTCACTGAACATCAAACTTCTGTGACTGGAACAGGGCCCTTGGCCCACAGGGGCTACAGAAAGGCCTGCTCCCCGCCGTCAGCAGTCCTGACTCTCCATGGCACCTCCTAGTCTTCGGAGTAGGCGTGAGTGGCCTGGAAGTGCCCTCCTGCCACTTACCAGCTGCACAACTGCAGGCGAATTCTGCCCTTCACTGGGCCTCTCATCCTTACACGGGAATAGTAACCCTAGCTGCAGGGGCTGACGTGGGGGTGAAATGAAATGGAAAAGGCTGCCTTGCCGCATCCTTGACAAACAGAGAAAAACACACTTGAAGTGACAGAAAATAAGAGTGTAAAAGATTTCTCAGGACAAACAATAAGCAACACATTTTTGTAACAATACAAACAATGTCAAAGGCGGACAAAAAGTCTGAGGCTGTATTGACGATGTCTCACTGCCTTCTGCTGTCATGGCCTCGTTTTAAATGAGCTGGAAGGTGGTAAGTAGTAGGGAGGTTCAGAGGGTGGAGGGTCAGCCAGAACAGCGCGTCGGATGCCACGGAAGAGGCAGGGTCGAGCTGGACTTAAACATGAAGAGACCTTGAGAATTAAGAGGCTGGGGTGGACAGGCGCGATGACCCTATGCAGAAATGCGGTGGGGTCTCCGAGAAAGACCTATTTGTGGCCAGTGAACACATCAGTTTTATGATAAGTTTAGCACCTAAGAGGGAAAAGTGTAGGAAATAAAAAGGAAGATTTCAAAAAGATTGCCAGAGGACGAAAAAGCCAGACTGAGTTTGACCTTAATCTTGGAGGAAATGGGGTGTTTTTTTTTTTTTTAAAGATGGATTTATTTATGCAGGCAGAACTGGGGTAAGGACCAGAGGTGCGGGGGCACTAAGAGGCTTCACCAGAGACAGAGTGGGGAGCAGAACAGGCAGAGTGACGAAGTGCACTGCTGAGGGGAGCAGTGGGCGGGTCAGGAGAGGTCTGCCGCACCCTGGGGGTCCCCTCCGGGGCGGGGATTGAACACACACTGAAGCAGCTGCGGCCAGCTTGCAGTGCTGCGTCCTAACCCGCTGCGCCCCCAGGGAGGGCCAGAAATGGGGTGTTTTTTAAGGATGATGAGCCAGAGGATAGCACAAGTGAACAACCTTCTCCCACACCCCAGGTCTTTCTCAGCACCAGGAGAGGGTCTTGGATCCTGAACCGTGTGGGCAGCCACGGGTACCCTTCGGACATGTTGTACTCTTCTCGGCTGAAATATTATATGAAGAACATTTTAAGTGAATCCACCATAAATACCTTTTTGGAAAACAGACTGAACCAAAGGTTTGACCATGCATTGTTTGGCCTGAAGCCTAAACACAGGTAAGTCCCAGGGTGGGAGTGTGGCGGTGACACCCAGGCACAGGAAAAGGATTGCTCCGCCTCCACGCGGACACTTAGCACAGTCACACAGTCGCAGTCGGCTTTCTGCCTTCCTCCCACAGAAGCCTAAGAACTGCACGTCAAGGATCTTTGCTCTGGGCTTCTGCTTGCGTGACCCACTCTACCAGTCCCCAGATACCAGCCCTTCTCTGTGTCTAGCAATAACGGGGCTGAGACAGAAAGGCATCATTCTTCCACTCAGCGAACCCCGGGCGCCTGCTCTGAGCCAAGCATAGGCTGGGTCTGAAAACACAGAGATCAAATAGTGACTAGCAGTCAGGAGGAAAATGAAGGACACACAGGCGCTCACGGTACTTAGCGCTTTGCAGTAAGTAAATCCGAACATTAAAAACTAAAAAGTCAGGTAGAAAAAGTGTTCAAGTCAGCCCTGAGGCCTCCGGGGCCGGCCGCCGTCGTCCGCCAACGGTCCTTGTGTCCGGCTGCCTGTCTTCTCGTTGGAGCAGCTGAGGGCTGGCCCAGGTGTCCCTTTTCACCTGTGTGACCTTGTACAAAGTCTTTCTCTGAGGTCAGTTTTTATGTCAGCAGATGGACAGAGTCGCCAACCCATAAGGCTGCTGTCCAGAGCAAATGCCAAGTGGCTGTGACCCCTCACCGTGTCACGTGCTCGCCCCCGCAGGGCTTGCTGCTGTGTCCGTACAAACGAGGGGTGCAGACAGCCGTGCCACGGCTCTCCCAGCTCCCCTCTGAAGTAACTCTGTTTGTTTGTTTTGTTTTTTATGGGGACATTTTCTTTTTAAGATTCTAAGTCAAGTGTTCTGTAGAACATCTTTAAACCTGGGCTCGTGTAGTTTTTCTGTCAGATTCGGGGCTAGCACGTCTGGCACAGACACCCAGAAGTTTCGTAGCGCCGTCTCGGTGGCCCACACGCGCTCACCCCGCACCACTGACACGACACTGGATCAGTTGGAGAAGGTGCAGCAAGCTGGCTCCCCCTTATTCCGATTTCTTCTCCTTCGGAATTAATCACGCGGAACCGTGCTCCCCAACAACCTTTCACACAGCCGTTTCACCCACTTAGTGGAAACTGTAGCATCCTTATCACTGATGATTACACAATGAATTGAGGTTTTATGGACTAGCAGGAGATAAGCCAGTAGGCTCCCTGGCGTGAGTGGTGTCTGGGTTGCAGCACACGCTGCTTGGGCTGCGCCGCGGGCGCCAGGGCCGCAGGCAGGCTCACCTGTCGGGTGCGTGCAGGGAAGCCACCACTCTGCCGAGAACATCTGGAATAAAGACAGTTCGAAGCCACTGAAAAATTTTAAGCAAGTTGGGGCCCTCCCTGCTGCCCCAGGAAGGTAAAGCAGCGCTTCGGAGTTAGCCGCAGCTGCCTCAGCGAGTTCGAACCCCGGCGGCAGACCCCTCCCGTCTCCCCGCTGCTCCCCTCAGCCGTGGACTTCGTCAGTCGGCCTGCTCTGCTCCCCACCCTGTCTCTGGTGAATCTCCTCACCGCCCCTGTACCCCAGTTCTGTTTGCATAAATAAATCACTCTTTAAAAAGAAAGATTTTAAGCAAGCAGGTGACAGAATTTTAAGCAACTGAGTGAAGTAATAATAAATACGCTTTAGAACGACCATGCACGAATAACGTGGAAGGCTGTTGAAAAGGGGGTAGAATAGGAGACCCCAAGGACAGTGGCGATGACCCAGGTGAGAGAGAACGGGAGGAGGTGACGAGGAGACCGAAAGCCTCGGCGGGCAGACGTGCGGCTGCCAGGTCGGACGGGACTCAGCCTCGCCAGGAAGAGCAAACGGCAAGGCCAGAGCGCAGCGCACAGTCCGCAGGGAAGGGCCGAGGCCTGGCGACAGGCCGCAGCAGCCCTGGCATCCACGGTCGAGCGCAGCCAGCACTGAGCATGCGGCTGAGGCCCCCCCACGCCGGGATTCCGAGATTCAGATGCCTCAGGGAGCGCCGAGACACTGGAACCTGCCTTACTTTTTGGCAGGCTTACTTCAACTGTCTCTGGACACAGTACAAGGACCCCAGTGTTACTGAAAAGGATCCCGGAAGAGCTGGCGGGCAGCCATCTTATTGTCAGTTCTAAAGTCCCAGGCTGTGGCGCCTCGGGCGAGCCACTTAGCCCCTTAGCGAACCTGGGGAGTGGCACCTGCCTGCTGCCTTCATCGGGCTGGAGGTCGTGTAAGCCAACGTCTGTAAGACCAGTTTGTAGTATAAATGACAGTACAAGCGATGTGGTAGCAGCTTGCAGAGTGCTGGGCCGTGGACGGAAACAGCCCCACAGTCCTTCCTGCTGGACTCCTTGCTGTGCGCATTCCTGGTGCTCCTCAGATAAGACCTCTCCTCCGCTTCGTCAGCACTATCCCCCGCAGGGCCATCCAGGGTCCAGCTTCTGCTGAGAGAGCTGCTCTCTGCAAGCAGTATAAATTAGACCTTCACCAAGTGCCACGGCCAGATAAAAGAGGGACATGTTGTCTAACTGCCTCCAGTGAAGTAGTCTTTTGTTCCCATTTTTTAAAGGTTTGTTTACTTATGCACACAAGAGCTGGGGTAGAGGCCAGAGATATGAAGAGGGGAGAGGATTCCCCGGAGACAGAGTGGGGAGCAGAACAGGCGGACCCACTGAAACACCTGCTGAGGGAGCAGCCGCCGGGAGACAGGAGGGGTCTGCTGCGCCCTGGGGGTCCCTCCCTGGCCAGGAACCGAACTCAGCCCACAGTGGTGGTGGACAGCTTCACAGTGCTGAGACTTAACCCCTTGAGCCACCAGGGAGGCCCCCTGGAGTAGTCTTACATGGCACTGATTCCTCTTTCTCCCTCTTTCTCTCCTGTCTTCCCTTTCTCCCTCCCCTCTTCGTTTCTCCTCTTGTTCTTCACCACCATTCACAGACCTCTGAGTCAGCATCCAACAATAAACGATGAGTTGCCAAATCGCATCATTTCTGGTTTGGTGAAGGTGAAAGGAAACGTGAAGGAGTTCACAGAGACGGCCGCCATATTTGAGGACGGCTCCAGGGAGGATGACATTGATGCAGTCATCTTTGCCACCGGCTACAGCTTCAACTTTCCTTTTCTTGAGGATTCTGTCAAAGTAGTCAATAACAAGGTATCCCTATATAAGATGGTCTTCCCTCCTCACCTGGAAAAGCCAACCCTTGCCATCATTGGCTTGATCCAACCCCTGGGTGCCATCATGCCCATCTCAGAGCTCCAAGGTCGCTGGGTCACTCAAGTATTTAAAGGTGAGTGACTTGCAACCTGACTACTTACATGTTTGGCATGTCTGATTCTGTGTATGTTTCTACTTTCAAATAGCCGAGACTGTATGTATGGTTCTAAACGGGGCTGCAACAAAATTAGCACTGACTGAAAGTTAATTTTGAGTAAATATTAACTTATAATCGTGGTCCTATATTGGAATCTTTTGGGAAACTATCCAAAAAAAGGGCACACTTTGACTCTACCCTCCAGTATATGTAACTGTGGGAAATGTTATAATCTGCACTTCAAACTTGACTATATTCACCTACGCTTTAGACCCCTGATGTATATTTGTGAAGAAAAAGAATTGTATCTTCTTTCACTGCAGATAGAAGACTTCAGACAGAAGGTTAGACCTGCTTAAAAACAAGGCCAGCAAATAGAAAATTCAATCTCAAATTTCCACTTCCTCCAATTTAAATCCCTCTTTCAGTTCTAAGGGTACATGAGCAAAAAGTTTGGGCTTGGGATAGCTGGGAGAGTGTGAATCAGCAGATGATACGGTTTCTGAAAGGCTGACTGATATCGGGCATCATTACAAAATGACCAAGTCATAGAGCTCGTGACAGTTCTCGAAGCTGATCAGACCAGACCCAGAGACAGGTTTAAAAGTGAAATCAGTGCACTGAAAGGAGGGAGACGGGAACAGTCGAGGACGTGAGAATGCGCCATCTGAAGTCCACGTGAAGGAGTGGCAGTTGTTTGGCCTGGAGACAGTGCGATTCCCAAGATAATCTTGAGAAGATAAAGGGAACCAGGAGCGAAACTTTGTGGGAGCTAAGATAGTGAGCCTAACAAACATTAAAAACAAAGCAACAAATATTTTTCCTGTGAGCCAGGGACTATTTCAAGACGGAATGGGGAGTGTCTGAAACCAGGGGCATCTGAGCAGAATGGGGGACGGGGAAAGTGGATGGAGGGTCATCCGGCCAGGCCAACTCGGAATCAAGTCTCAGAACAGGGAGCGCCAAGATGGCCTTTAACATTCTTGCTAACAAGGAAATTTCGGGGGTCTCCAGTTTTTAAAATAAAATTTGCCATCATTACTAATATGTAACAAAACTATTCAGAATTCTTTTTTTAAAAAGATTTATTTACGCATACAAGAACTGGGGTACAAACCAGAGTTGCCGGAGGTGAGAGGGCTCCCCAGAGACAGAGTGGGGAGCAGAACAGGCTGGCTGACGAGGTCCACTGCTGCGGGGAGCAGCGGGGGACAGGAGAGGTCAGCCGCGCCTGGGGGGTCAACTCCTGTGGCTGCGACCAGCTTCACAGTCCTGGGCTTTAACCTGCTGTGGACCAGGGAGGGCCCTACGCAGAGTTCTTAATGGAGTTACAGTTTCTCCCTTAGTGAAGAATTGAGAGATCGAAAACTTTCCCAATTTCTCAAACCCTTCCAGTTCTATCCAGCAGCTCACGTACAACTTGAGAGCACTAATTTGCACTCAAAGGCAATTAAATTGGCTTCATTTCAGTGACATTAATGGATCTTTTAATTATGTCAATTAAGGAAGAAGAGAAAGGTGCCTTAAAATAGGCCGAAGCATCTTATGTAGTTAAACTAGTGGGACTTTGCTATGACCGAGGGAACTGCTGGGGGACAGAGAAAAGTCTGTGGCAGAATGTGCCCCAGGCTCTGGGACTAGGAGACCTGGGGCGTGTGAAAGCCCTGCTCGGCTGGCCAAGCCCAGGGCGAATGCCCCCGCTGTCTAACCTGGCCGGGGGTCATTAGGAGAATCCCTGTCACTGCATCAAACTTCCCTCACGCGCTGGGGCTCTTCTTCCACAGCTCTCCTGCTCACCTAGGCTCCACCCGGCCCTGCACTGTCTGCGCTGCACCATGAAAGGGACCAGCTGGCTTCTGTGTTCCATGCCCAACTCAGCCTCTCCCTTCCCTGGCCCAAACCGCCCTGAGCAAGACCCGCTTTCCTGCTTCCTCTGTCTTTCCGTTCACTCTACTCTTGTGAAGTCAGCCGTCCACCCGCTCGCAAAGCGCGGAACCCGCTTCGGAGCGCGTAGCTGCCTCTGCATCCCTGGCCTCGTGTGCAGGCCCTGCCCCTCGCTGTCACTCACCAGCCTTCTCTCCTTCAACCAGCCCTGCCCCGACCCAGCAAGGCTCTGTAGCCCAGGGCAGCGTCCAGGCTCCTCCACCAGCGAACACAGCCTGGCCTTTCTGGCCCCCCTCTCACTGGGGTACTCCGGATCCGGCATCTTCCCGAGGCCCGCGCGGCTTCCCCAGCAGGAGCAGCGGTCCTCCTGGGCCTCTGCTCCTGCTGCTCTTCCCCAGCACTCCTGTGCTCTGTCTGTAGCGAAGGGGCCTATTTATATTTCTTCTCCCTTAATCATAATCGCTAGCTCTTTAAACAAAAGAACCATGTTTATTTACCTCTGAGTTTTGAGCCTAGGCCTGTGTCCAGCTCGCGGGCCTTGTCTAGCGAATGTCTATTCAAGCAAGGCTGGCTGAGCTTCGGGGGCAGACGAAGGTCCCAGCCCTCCAGTAGACGCGTCCTAGCTGAGGCCCTAGGCTAGAACTACGCCTTAGCCCATTTTTAGTCGCCATAAAAGGCTTGTCTGGACTGAACGAGGACAATGGCAACTTCTCTGACAACATCTTTAGACTCAAGTGTGCAGAGACAGGTCAGAATTATGCAAATCAGGACTACGTGAATGCCGCTTCAGCTGAGAGCAGGCTGAGGCCCAGCCGCGCAGGGCTGTGATGGAGGCTCACGCCTCTCCCACCACGCCTCGGGCCTGGCAGGCCTCTGAAGCGCAGCATTTCGCAGTGCGACACGCTCATCGGCTCATTCGTCCAGCACAGTTACTGGGCCCAGACAGATGCCCCAAGGGCACAGAGAGGAGCCGCTGCCCAGCCACAGCCCTGGGCGCAGGGCGAGAACACGCTGCGAGAGGGCGGGACTCGGCCCAGAGGACACTGTCAGTGACATTTCTGCAGTTGGAGGAAAAGACAGAATACGCCAAGTTCTGGGAGCTGCAGGTAGTTTGGAATTCTGAAAATGAAGTGTTCTAGGAACTGAGAAAAATGAAGCTAGTTACAGAGGTAAGAGCAAGAACCCTCCTGGATGCCACACCAGTCTGGATTCCAGGCAGCCGGCACAGGACCAAAGAAGGACTTCAAAGGGAGTGGGGGGTCACGTCAGAGTCCTGATTCTGATGCGTCAAGGGGGGGGGGGCGAGTCGAGAGCCTGAGTCCAGACTCCAGGAAGACGGGGTAAAGGCTTTACCCTAGAGGAAGGGCTAGAAGACAACTTTGTGTGAAGCTTCCTCAGTGAAGTTGAAAGGATTTGGCGAGGGCGCATATGTCACAGTGGGAGTGAGGGGAGAGGGCTCAGGTGCCGAGGCCATTCATTTGAGCTGGTACCCCCTGAGGAGGGCAAGACGGGAGAGAGGGGTAGGAAATTTAAAGATTTGCGTCTGAAAGAAACACGGCAAGGGCAGTCTTGAAGGACAAGAAGGAATCATACCACACCTCCCTCTGCCAGCCCACCCGCCCCCCTTCCTACCTGCCTCGTCTGTGGGGTTACTTTATTGAGGTACGATTGCGCTGGCTTCAAGGACACGGCATTCTGGCTGGACATGTGTGGGTCACAGCGTGATCGCCTCTGACAGGCGGTTTCTGCCGTCATCGCGATTGGCCCCTAGTGCCGACTTACCCACTGTCCCTTGCCCGCCTTTTGGCAACTACCGCTTTGTTCTTATAATCTAAGGGGTTTTTTGTTTTGCTTTGCCTTTTTTTTTTTTTTTTTTAAAGAATTGGCTGGATCTCACAGGCAAGAAATAGATAGTATATACCATAATGTCTCTGGCATTAGTAAAGGTTATGGTTCCTACTATAGGAAATAATTTGGAAATCAGCTCTCTATATAGGTTTCATGAACATTTAAAGAGACCTGTGGTGAATCTCAAATGAAACATTACAGGGTTTCCTCTCTGACTTAAAGCTATAAGTAGTAATCCCAAGGTTAGGGGTGACAGACGCATGGCAAAACACAGCCATTTCTTGGCTGTCAAACTGCTGAATCTCATATGGTAAGCAAGATGCCCAGCACCTTCCTAGAGTGAGCCCACAGAAAGCCAACCAACATAGCAGAGCAGGTGAAGCTGTTTCTGTACTAATCAGGCTGATGAAGACTTAGAGAAGTTAGGGCTGTTTCAAAGACTGACATTTGTCAAGGTCAGACTC